TAAAATTGATATCATTCGATGCAGAATTTCGAGCTGAGTCTAACTCAAGCAACATAGCGAATCCGGACAGGAAAAACTTTCAGAAAAGTTTTGAAAAAAACCAGTATTTTGAGGTCAAGTGTTGATTTTTGCTCGATGACCTCCCACCCCCTCTCCCCCTTGATCTTTACACCATCAGATTCGCCGTAAAATTCTGCATATAACTCAAGTTGAACCAAAATTAACTCAAGTCCAGGGGCGAATCCGAACAGTATAAACTCGAATCTGGTGCTAACTTTACTTGTGTAGGGTGAAATTACCATCAAAATAATTATATTGAAAATCATGATTATTTATTTTTATATGACATAAAATGAAAAAAGTAAGATAAGTTAATTGATTGCAAATGTATGTTGTCGTTGAATACGCATTGTTGTTTCTTTCATTGAATAATACAATCCATATGTATTCCAATGTAAGCCAGCCATTTCTTGCAGTATTTTGTAAAGCAAGTGGTGATCGTATATAAGCACCATCTAGATGTGATTGAAAACAATTTGTAAATCACCATGCACCATGATAAGTTAATGCACAATTATTATAAAATAAATTATCATAATCATGGCCATAAATAGAAAATGATATTCTGTTAGCATTATCCCATGATGATGAAAGTGAATCACCAGCTGTTGATGTGTTCGAACGAAATTGTGATATTTGTAATTTATAATTTTGACTTTCATTATCTACAGCAAATTCACCATATTCAGCTATACGTATTGGAGAATCTCAAGGTTGTAGATCAATTCGAAGATTAAAAGAAAGATAGCGTTAAATAAATCAACAGGATAGTAGTAACGAATATGGTTAACGCATGCGCCTGCCTTTTTGTAATTGAATGGTGTAAATATGGAATGAACTGAGTTTTATATTTATTTTAACAAATCAAACTCTGTCTACGAAATAGGTAGTAGTGGATACTTGCACACCTCGGACCGACCGGATCCGGATCTAGAATTCTATTTTTTCTTGGGTGCAGAAGTATAGCTAAAAGTATTTCATACCGTTGGAGATATTGATGTTACTGTTGGTTGAATGATTTCTGTTTATCAATTAACTGTAGAGTTTTCTTTTTTTTAACAGAACGTTCCTTTCAATTAAATGAGGACTTTGAATTTATCAAGCATCGAGTGATAAGAACGTGAACAACAAGGAGTAAACGTACGTTGACATTTTTTTTGAGAATAGCCAATAAATCGTTGAAAACTTGATACTTGCCTTGTTCATGTGCAGAAAAGCTACCAGATATTGGCTGAAAAAAGACTCAGATCTGAATCTGACTACAGTAGGGTGTGGGTGTGGGTCAATATATAATTAAGACACCTACATCAACATCCACACCCATTTTTGTTAGTATCTTCTCTTAAAACTTATTTTTATTATCGTTTCAAATGTAAACTACTACTTTCTCGGTTCCGTTTTTAAGAATGTTCTACGTACATGTTTTATTTAAGAATATGAATATAATAAACTTGATTTTTTCCAAGTGAAAAACGTGATGAATGAAAAGCAAAACTATTGTTTTTGTTGTTAAGGATCTCTCTCAGATAAAGTCAATTTTGTGATTTATAGCTTGTGAGATAGAACAATGTGTCTACTCTCGAATGGATTATCGTTGATTGATTTTATGATAAGCTTTAAGGATATTACATAGATTTTTCTAAACCTCAATATTGGGGGAAAAAAAGGTTTTTAAAAACTTATTTTCTGTTATTCTTAAAATTGATTTTTTTTTTTGAGTATACTGTTTGCGCAGGCAAACCTTACTCAATAACGATTCAATACAGAAGTGATCATTTTTTTTATTGCATAGAGTACTCGTAAGACTAGGTCGTTAGAGAGCCTTATTTTTGAATTTCTCTATTGGTGAAATAAAAAACTTATATATTTCATTTTTATGAGCGTTTGTTTTAGTCATGAATTCGAGAACTTTTCGGAAAAGACTTTTTAAAAAACAAACCATGGAAATTTCAAAAATCGGGCTCTGTAATGACCTAGCCCTAGAGTACTCTATAATTTAAAAACCTTTCCTGGCATGCTTAACTCGTATCCTCATAATGAGGACCTTACTCGCGTAAATGGTATTTTTTACTAATGAACTGACTATAACTTGTGAATATGACGTAGATTTGGAAAGATATTTTAACTATAATATGCTCTAGCCAAGACCGGTATTTTCTGAAATTTTGATTAAAATCAGACGAAAAATAACAAAGTTGGTTTCTGAGGGGCCTCTTAATAAAAAAAAATTGAGCAAAGAACGACAAAAAATTTACCATCATATGTAAGAAATAGAACAGAAAAAAAAGAGGAAGAAAAGTTTACTAGCGCAGCTGCTTTGTGAATGAAATGTGAGGCTTATATATTCCATATGAGCTAGCAGATAATCTAGTATAAATTGTTTTTTTTTGTGTAATGAAGTATACTTTTAAGTTTAGAACAAGCGAAAGTGAAAGGTTGAGAGATTTATCTGCGTGTAGGTGTGACATTAATACGAATACACTCTTGAACAATAATAACCGTATATTGAATATAAGTACTAATCATCATCTGAGTGAAATTAAACTTCAAGAAGTCGAATTTTCAAAATTGAGCTTCTTGATTGACACTAAACTTTGTTCGAGTTTCAATGATTAAGTCATTGAATTTTCGTTTCAATTTTCTTATATTTGTGAATTCTCTTGAAATAAATATTTGAATCAAATTTTACGAAGAGGAATATTATATTACACTATATTTTTCAGATGAATCAATGATTTTCTTTCTGTAAAACGAACAATTTTACATAATATTCTTCGAAATCAATTAAATTCGCAAAATCAAATAAATACTCTTTCAATCACATCCATTTTGAATCCCGTGTCTCTGAAAAAAGTTTCATATTAACTTGTTCGTAATTTCAAACGCATGTTATTGCATTTTTCTTTTGCAACATTTGGAAGGTGAGTCACCGACTTAGTGTTACATTTCTTTTTTAATATTTCAATGAATAAATATGCACGCATTTGCCTTTTTTTTCCGTTCTATATAGTCATCTATGACACATGATTAAATATTTCTACTCGACGTGAATCTGTAATTGTGTCACATTGTCGGGAAAAAAAACACATTTTACACATGTGCATTCTGCATACTACGACTTATGTCTACTAAAAAGGGATCCTATTTTCAAACGTTACCCATCGAACTTATTCATCGAATTTTTGATGATGTCGATGCAGAGACAATTGTCTTTTCAATTCGTTGCGTCTGCAAACGGCTCTATTCCATTGCCAATGCCTACAATCGTTATGCGCTGGACTTTCGTTATATGTCAAAATCTGATCTACCTCGCATGGCACGTATTATTGATCCTAAAAATGTTATCTCACTTACACTTTCGGATGAGGTACAGACACCCGATCAAATTCGATTATATCTTTCTCACTTTCGTATCCATCTATTCATTCGACTACGTTCATTAACTCTCTTTAACGTAAAATACGAAGACTTGTATGAATTTCAAAAACATATCATGAAATATCCTCTTATAACATTCTCAATGTCGTCTATTGAGTATGATATGAACATAACAACATTGCTATCATCTATCATGTCACACAATAATCTTCGTAAATTCGAATTCAATGGAATTGATGAGATCTTCAGTAAAATACAATGGCCTATTTCATGTAGATTGAAACATGTAACAATTTTTCGTGAATGTAGCTGGAATAAAGTTTACTCTATTCTTGGTCATTTACCTCATCTACAAACATTAGTATTGAAAACACTAGTCGTTGATGACAGTATACTTACACATTCTGAAATCATACCGTCAAGTCATTTAACTTCATTCTCGTTAAAACTGAGTTCGGACATAAAAATGGACAATTTTAAAACCATCCTTTCATTTTTACCTATGCTAACACATCTTCGACTAATTGGTGAGACACCTTTAACTGATCCTTTATTTTTTGATGGTTCTCAATGGGAAAATTTCATTGAAATGAAATTACCTCTATTGAACAGGTTCGAATTCTGGTTTACTCTTAATGCATTCGATAGTCAAGATTGTACTATTGCAGAATCACTGATTGCACCATTTCGAACACCATTCTGGCTCGAACTCAAACATTGGTTTGTTAAATGTGACTACGAGTACAACCAATTTTATCGAAAATTTCATCTCTATTCAATACCAATATTTCAGGATAACTTTTATTATCCTCATAGACAAAGTACAATTCTGCATTCTACGTTAAACACTGCTGAGAACGATGCAACAATCATCGTCAATGCGCATCAATTATTCATAGACTTGAGCCAAATGATGACTGAAAGCACTCGATCAAAGGTAAGCGTTATTTTAGATTTTAAAATCGCGCTAGTTCTTCTCCAACAAATAATTCTTTTCAAAGAAAATTGATAGATTATGATTGGAATCTAATAATAAGTTTTGTTTTTTTAGCATCGTATTGATTACTGCTGGTTTTTTGGTATCCATCCATTTTATAAGATTGTAATTATTGTTAAAGTTTCTCGGTAAAATTTTCAATAAAATTATGGACTTGTCAGAATAGATAATACATAGAGCCATTCAAAAGTAGTGACTCCATTTTATTATGTCTCTATAGAAAGCTTAAAGAAATTTTCTTTCCTGATGCAGTGATAGAGAAAACGATGCTCTTTTTTTTTGTCCTATTTGATCACTTTTCAACTAATATCATAATAATAAAATTTCAATAAGAGTTGTTTTGGTGTAAAACTTTACTAACGGATGAGCCAGGTTAAATGTTTCAACCACTTAATAAATTGTATTAAAAAATAAAATATACCACAAGATGTAACGCGAGAAGCTCTACAATTTACGAAAGACCGCTTATATTATAGTTGCACTTTTTGTTTTCAAAATGAACAAAATTTTGAGCAACCATTTTTTGATACAAGATAAATTCATTTTTTCTATTGCATCTTTTTGTCGCCTGATATCTTTTATTTAAGAAAAACAAAATACTTTACAAGATGCAGCGTGAAAAGCTCTATAATCTACAAAGTAAAGCTTACTTTAATTGTATACTTCTTGTTTTCAAAAAAAAAAAAATCAAAATTCCGTGCGACCAATTTTTGCTGACCCGAAAAAGTAATATTTTTCTTATTCCATATATAAAATAAACTGTTCTTTTGTAAATTGCAGAGCTTTTCGCGCTACATCTTGTGGTATATTTTGTTTTTTTAATACAATGCATTAAGCGGTTGAAACATTTAACCTGTCTCACCCGTTAGTGGAATTTCACATTTTCTATAGAGACATAAGAAAATGGGGCCACTATTTTTGGATTGCCCTAAGTAGAATTCGAACAGTAGAATAAAAGTTACAGTAGATCTGACAATCCTAAAAAAATGACTCGTTCTATTGTCCACGGTTCTCCAATATACAAGGTGTATCATCGTTCACCAGTTTATTAAATAACTTTGAGCCAACATATAATCCAGTAGTATGAGACCAGTGGGCTTTGACAATCTTCGACGAGTTCATTGTCTTGTTATCAAGATATTGAATCTTTGGTTAATTCTTCTATAAAGATTAAGATCTCAATTAGACTAATATGTATATCGACTTTCAACAATTTTTCGAGGCATCCTCTCCGAAATATACACTTTTTCATCGATATCGTTTCGTATATGAAGCTTTTAAATAATGCATATTGAAGAAAGACTACATCGGAACATTCTGCAATTTGCTACATAGATTAGTCTGATTATGATCTTTATGTGAGCAAAGTTTCCGATCAAAAACTAAATTTTGAAAATACGATTTTATTGAATAATCTGGTTTTACATAGAAGAATTCATCAATAATTTACAATAACTCGATCAAAACACAACACGATCATGAACATTTTGAAGACTGTTACAATGTTAGTGGTCTTCTACTAGTGGAAGAAATACGGGCTCCAAAACTTCTAATCAATTGGAACTCGAAGATATTTTTAGTCACAGAAAAATGCTACATTTCTGTATTAGAGTAAAATAGTGGCAGCTTTGAACATTCTTTGTCAATTATTATGAACAAAAACTTTGAATTATTCGATTCACATGAAAATCGATTTATTCACATACTAAATACTGTTTTGGTGGCGTGTTAGATTGAGTTCGATTACTTTTTGATTATCCTATAGAATTGTTTTTACACGGGTAGTATCTGTGAGAAAATTTGTGTTCGATCGATCTTACTATGTCGAAGAAATGGAGCTGGTTGGTTTAGCATGTTTTGAAAAAAAGATGCAATTAATGTAAAACACTCTTTTGTCAATATTGGAGATCATTGATTCTTCAATAAATAGTTATAAAGTCTTGCATTTGCACATCGATTTGAGGTAAATATTGTTGAACCGCACAATAGATTTTAGTAAAAAGACGTACATATGTCTTTTTTGAAAATCATTTATTTTATTGTGACTGTTCGAAACAAGATCTTTTTCTATGAGAGTCTTAAAAATAATTTTTTTCTCGTTTTTGAGTAACAATAAAAATTTCTCATTTGTAATATATTGAATAAAGGGTGCTCGAACATGTTGTTTAAGACAAATTTGTTTTATTTAAATATAAAGTTCTTTGAAAAGATTTCTTAAGTTCATACAAAAATGATCTGTACTTATTTGCTGACTTTTTTCAGCATAGAATAGTTTTATATTGTATTTTCCAATATCTTTAAATAGTACACATTTTGTTTTTAGACGAATCCAACACCGAATTATTTATTTCGTAATGTAACAGAACTTACGCTGACGATTAATCAACAATGGCCCATCAAATCAATTGAACATCTTTCAACAATTGTTAATCTATCGAATCTTCAAAAAGTCTACTTAAATTTCGGGTGTGACTGTAAATTCGCTGTGAGTTTGGATGTCGAAATGGATACATTATTCAAACGAGCATGGAATCTTCGTTCAATTCAAATAACTTGCAATGATTCCGAGAGAATGAAGTTGATAACTCTGAATGCTATCTGTTTGAAATTACCATCTCATATAAAACGTCTCGATACTGATATCATGTATGTAGACGACGCAAAAATATTATTGGAACGAGCTGAACATTTATCAAGTGTCACATTTCGAAAACGTGGAGTATTTAATTTCACGAGTGAGATCATTGAATGGCTCACGCGAATAAAAAGAGATGTTGTATGTAAGGTGAATTGGGACTTATTTCTCGACTATGACTGGAGCTGTCCAGTATACTTGTGGCTTGGCAAGAGCCTGAATAACCAATCGAATACATCGATTAGTCATAAACGTGTCAAGCGAACCCATCGCTATTATTATTCATGATTCATTGGTTTTATTCGTTTTGACAGACATGATTTCAAATATTCATTGACATACGAGTCAACTCATTTCACAATTGATCTCCAAATAAAAATCGAAATATTTGTAATTACAGTCATTTTTCTTTAATAAAAATGTCTGCGTATGTCTTCTCTTCATGTACAGCTACACTTCACAGCCTTGTCTATCCTTTGTTACAAACACTTTGAAAGTACTTGATCAATTCGATTTAATTTTAATTTCAAAAAAAAAAAACTTTTCTTTTCATATGTTCAACTGAAAGTAGAAAATTTTCATCCAAAATAAAATCTTGTCCGAAAAATTCGATCATCGTTTGATAAATAAGAATTAATTCACAAAATTTTTAAATAGAAAATGTATCAGTTATACAAAGAATTTCTTGTAACAAAACATTCAAGTGAATTACCAGTAATACGGTGTGGATGAGGTGTGGGATTGAGAGTGCGGGTGGGTACGGATGCGGATGTTTGGGTGTGGGTGTATTTGAAGAAGAATCCAGATTGACATTGACACGTTCACCCACACCCATGTTCCCATCATCGAAAAAAAAAATACAAATTCATCGTAGAAAAAAAATTTACTCATATATAAAATTTCACCAATCATCAATGTTCACATGTCCTCATCATCAAAAAAATTACTAATTTATTATCACATACAAAAATACTAAGCGTCTTATATCTTTGTCATTAAATAAATTAAAAAAAAACTTTAAATTTTGAATAAACAAATGGACTTATATCTTTATAAAAAAATATCTCTTTTTGCAAAATGAAAAATAGCAATTTCAATCTCAACTAGATTCCAAACTCACTTCCCACATCTATATTCAAACAAACTCAAAATGATTTTTTCATTTAATACTAAAGTAATTAAAAAAGGTTATACAGAATGCCAAAGCCTCTATATCAATTTTTTCTTTAATCTCAGTTATGCACAGAGCTAATTTTGACTAGGCAAAATCATATCTGATATTTTCAAAAAAGAAAATTCTATCTTTAGTTCAATTCTGTCTGAATACCAAACTTGCCTGACACATATACATATTATTCTATTTTTTAAAGATTCGTATCTTAAGTTCAAAGAAAAAGAACCAAACTTAAGCATAAAAAATAAGGAAAATTTACTGCATAGGAAATTATAGAAACAACTATTCAAAAGTGTAAATACTGTTGCAAAAATAGAAGAAACCTATTTGAAACATACAAACAATCACACAACGTAATACTTAGTCATGAAATTATTGTCAAAAGGAATCATTGAAAAATTCTGAAATCAGTATTGATAGTTACAAAGATAATTATCAACAAAAGAAATTATAAAATAACTAAATAAAATTTTCCACTACACAAAGGTACTTTTTGGTGAATTATATTCCGTCAGGCGTTTGTCATAAGCAACTCCAGCGGACTGGAAGAGAGTAAATGTTAACGAAAAGTTGATCGAAAATCAATAACTTTGGAAAAGAATTACGTTTCAGTACATAAAGTTTGAGTAAAATATGGTCACATCGACAAAAACAATAAGTTTTTTTTTAACATATTATCGTAAATTACAAGCTCGTATGACAAGAAGCGTACGAATTGACTTAGAATGTTTTCAGGTATAAAGAAATAACTTGACTGGCTGTATATAATTATGATTAGTCATTGAAATCATTTACTTATTCATTACATAAGAAATGTTTCTCAATTTTTAATACTATTCCCACCCATATATGATCGCTCGGTTAGATATTTTTTCATAATATAGAGAGTCATTGCTTGCTATTCTTACGAACTAGAAATAAGTTTTGAGGAAATTTCATTACAGTCGATTTGTTTTAAAAAATAACCCAAGTCAGCTCCACCCCTTGTAAAGACCGGTTACTGATAGAAAAGTTATCTGTTTGAATCCTCGACGATGAATCATCGCCATCCATGTGTCTCCAGCAAAATGTAGGCACGCCACAGAAACGGCTCGAGTCATAACTGCTTGCAGTTAGTGAACAAAAACAAGTGAAATGGCACAGGAAATGCATAGTTTCGTTGTCTCAGGTGATATTAAATGACTTCTTTTCTATGATTTATAATCTGATCAAGTGGATTTGAGACATGTTTTAAGTTTTATTGGATATATTTATTGTATATTTCGGCATGTTTTCTATTGTACTAAAATAATTATTTTCCTCAATGTTTCTTTTTAATTATGATTCCTAATTTAATTGAAAAGAGGCAAAAAAACCATCAATTTATACTAAAAATTTGGCATCTGGCAGTATATATGTATGGGCGTATACATTTTGTCAGTCATTATGCGCATGTACATATATATGACTATCTTATTTTCATCAAACGATAAATTAGTGAAGCAGAAATAATGACTAATGCTTTTTTTTCTGACTCAATTTTCTTCTAGTTTACCTTTATCAAAAACGTATAAGAATAGGGTAATAAGAGAACGCATATTTTATTTGCTTCACAGCTGTTACTTGTTCTTGAATCATCTTTGTTAAAACAGAAACAGTAAAATATGAAAAGGCTTATAAAACGTTTAAATGTAAGTCAAATGAAGTTATTATATTCATAAATTACGCTAATTTTGTTATTATGAAGCAAATAATTCTGTAGATGATTTTTTCTAGCGTCGATTACATGTTTCTACACTTCGTCATTCAGTTGAATTCAACTATAAACGGAATGCAAGGAATTTATGGAAAATGTTGAAATCATCTGTAAGGACTCATAAATTAGATTTAAATTTTCTTGCTCGTTCTTTATCATGTTATAATCGTGAACAACGTTTGATACTTGTTCAAGACCTCGAATATGAACACAATTATAAAATTATCGATATGGTACTTGAACAGCTTGAATCACCTATGCGCTCGTGTGTACTAGCCTTGTCATTTGAACCAATTGAATTATATGTACACCATGTTCATGATTTACTCTTTTTAACGTTTCAGAACAAAAGTAATATGAATATATCGAAAAAGTTAGTGCAAATTTTATTAGAATTAAACAACGAAGATATTAAGAAATTCAAAGACATATATAAAGATATATTTGAAAGCTCTATCGAGACCGATCTTCATGTTGTTCAAAGCAAAGAAAGCCTTCTATCCAAACTAATTATTCAATTACTTGAAGGACAACGTAATGAAGATATTACTTATTCAGTATCAGCAGCAAAAGTGATCGCTAAAAAGCTATCCGAAACTAGCAAAGATGCGACATCTGGTATTGATTCTGACATATTTATAAAAATTTTTACACATGATGCTTTTGCGCAATTATCAGCTGTATTTGATATATATGAAGATAGATATGGATGCCCCATACAAGCGGCTATTCAACATCAATGTGAAAATCAAATTGAAGTTGAATGCTTTCAAGACATCGTTGAATATACACGATCTCCAGCTGGTTATCATGCTAAAATACTTCGACAAGCATTAGATCAAAATCCAGTTGATTATATTACATTAATAAGAATTTCTGTTGGCCACGAAGGCAAAGACTTATCGGAAATCAAATTAGAATATTCAAAAGTGTTTGATGAAACACTGGATCAAACAATTCAAGATCGTATTGATATTTTAGAAATAAAAAGATTGCTTCTTACGATAATTACGATTGGTGACGACACAATGCCAAACGATAGTAGTGAAACTCGATCTGATAAGAGAGACAGTAGTAGTCTAGTTAGCGAAGTAATAAACTCCGTAGCAAAGTGGGTCGTACAATTGAACAGCAATCGTTCACTTGATACTTCGAGAAATCGGTTCAAATGGCTAAAATAAGACATGCACATTAGCCTTTTGAGGACGGTATCTTTTTCTTAAACGAAAAAGCATTTTTCGACCTTTTTATTTTATTTTAAATCAAAATGGTCACATAAAAATTTTATGGTAATCAAAAAAACAATTTTTTTCATCTTTTAAATAAAATGCCAATTTGCAAGTAAAGCATGCGATGTTTGATCGAACTTCTGCTTCCTTGGTGCTGCAATAAGCACATTTTCTTCTTTTTCCTTTCACAGGCAAATGCATTTCATTCTCAAAATTAAGGACAGTTTTTGGTAATGCTAGTTTAGACTTCATTTCAGAAGGAGGTCTTCCACGACTTATTCGTTCGCTGCCGGAGCAGAGAGACTTCGTCACTGAAACCATGTAGTTTAAGTATGTTAATTTATCCTGAGCTAACGGATTATAGCAAATGAAATGAGTTGAAAATAGATGCATTTAGAAAATAAATAAAAACTCGAAGCCAGTTTCGTTTAGACTTGCGATCGAAATTATAGCAGGATATTCGTTGACTGAGTCGATCAACTCTATGTACAAATTGATTATAATCGTTTATTGCCTTTGGATAGTTAATTGTAATACGTTGACCATTTTTCAACTGACGGGAAATTGGAACAATTTCATTGTCTTCATGATAATTTGAAGCCAAAAAAACGTGTTTGGTATCCATCCATATAAAGACAATACTGTTCGATATAATCATTGACTTGTAATCCCCTCGTTCCATTTCATATTTCTTGTCAAAATCCGGCGAAATACCTGCCCGATCTGGTCTAATCGTTCCATCGGCCTTTATGTTCTGTAATTTTAGTTTTTCTAATAGTCCGAGAGAAGTGAAAAAGTTATCGAAATATAAATGTTTTCCTTCAAAATTATGGCCAGAGATAAGATCGAAAACAACACGTCTGGCCAAAAGTATTTCGCTTTCTCTGATTTCTTCTTTTCCTAAATAGATTTAATAGTTGAATAAATAGCTAGTGATTGGATCACATAAGCACAAAACTTTATATCCTCTTTTTATCGGTTCTAGAGGCAAACACTGCTTGAGGCTTGATCTTCCCTTGAATTTTATCATACATTCGTCGATTGTACCGTAGCGACCAAAGTTATAATTTTTCTGGAAATTCGTCTGCAAAATTTCCATAAAATTCTTAACTGTGTAAATTTTACTGTAGTTTTTAGATTCTCGATTTGATTCTAATGAATTATCAGCTAAATGTAAATTATAAAAAATTTGAAGAAAACGATCTCTTGACATGATGGAAGAGATAAATGTATTATGGAATAGCATATCTTTATTCCAATAAAGTTTCATATTTGGCAAGTTATTGATACCCATTAGAATAATCAACCCGAGAAACGATTCAATATCTTTGTTGCTCACATCCTTCCAGTTACTGATTTTCTACTGTTTGTTACTTTGTTTCTTTCCTCTTCCATAAGTGTTTGTTTGATCAGTAATCAGATTTAAAATTTCTTCAGTAAAAAAGGTTCTAAAGACTGAAATTGGAGTTCACTATTTGAGAGAGATTGAGGTAAAGCCACCATGCATGATATAAATTGCATTCAATGAATTCAGTACCTTTTCATATATATCCAAATCATCATCAGAAAGTTCAAACTCATCTAAGTTATCGGCTAGTTCGTCGAAATCGAAGTCACTCTCGCTAGTGTCATCACTAGCAGATGAATCACAGGGCTCGTCATTGACTTCATTATTTCTATAGAATTCCAGTTATTTAGTTTTAATTGTAAAAACGTTATAAAGAAGTAAAGAGTTCAATTTCGACAGGGAAACTGTATGCTTTGGAAATTCAACAAACGGGTGCGGGTGTGGTGGGTGTGGGGTGTAAGTGTGGGTGTAACTGTGGCTGCGGAAAAAGACGATTAGTATTAACACACACCCACAATCACACCCACACCCTCATGTTTACTTTTAATCGATTCATATTATAACCCTTTGAGGACGGGTGAGTCATTTTTGACCCACCTATTTTTCAGCAGAGAAAATGTTATACGACGTTAACCTGGATTCCACATACGCAGTCTTAAAAAGTAGTCTCAGTGAACGTAAAATGATTAAAAGACTAATCTATATGTATTTTAATGACCATCATCATTATACTATTGTTCACTTGAAAAGATTTTCCGGTGACTGCAATACCATCATATGAGATGAAGGAAAAGAAGAATCGGAAAAATCAGCATAGATAAGATATAAATTAGGATTGTTTTTTAGTTCTTCGGTTAAATTAGTTATTAGTTTTTCTAACTCATTAATATTATTTTCATTTAAACAATCATTTGAGCAGAGAATTCGATAATATTGATTATCATTAACCAGTTTATGTGCAATAGTTTTCTCATTATCTGTTTTATCGATTTTATAAACATTAGCATTCAAATATTGAAACCTTCGCCGATGTAAATTCTTAATGAAATAATCTTTTTTCTCCAAACGTTTTAGATTCTGAGTTAAATCAGTAATAATAGTTTGCATCATCATTTGTTCATTATTGTAAAGTCTATCATGGATTATGAAGTTGTTAGTTCTACTACTTCGAATTTCAATAACTAATTTTGAAAGTCGTTCTATTTCATTTGTAAATTTTTTTTTCACATTCAGCCATTGTGTTTCTATGTTATTAAATTGCTGTTTCAAATGCTCACATAAGAATTTTGGCATGTCTCGTGTCATAGAATTTTCTAATGTTTTCATACTAACTGTTAGTTGAAATACATAATTTTCGATAGTTTTATTGAACTCTTCAGGTAGAATATTGAACTGTGGTGCATTTCGTTCATAATATTCAGGAAAGAAATCTTTCATGTATTGAAGAGTGTAAGATATTGGATAACTGTCAAAATAATTTTGGTTTTGTTGTATCAAACAACAAACATCCCAGATCTTAGTGAGATTTCTGAAATGAGGTATATTTGAATAGACTCTTGTATGAACTATTTTTTCTAAGATATTTTTTTCATATGTAGTTAATAGGTAAGCGCTCTGATGATTTTGTAAACGGCTACAGAGTGTTGTAAGTACTTTATCGATCGATTCAACTGTGTTCGGAACATTTGGTAATAGTAAAATGACAGTGAGACTGACTCCAAAATAAACTTTTGTAATAATGTGAGTTGCAGCAGTGGAAAATGTTGGTAATCTATTAACAACTTCAATATTTGCAGGCTTGTCAGGAAGTTTTTCTTCGCGTTTCAAAGAGGAATATCGAATGAAACGGGTGTATTCGTTGACGGGTTGACAATAATCAATCATTGTGTCTGTTCCAGGTTTTTTTGACATATTCAATAATAAGCTTAATCTTAATTCTTCTTCAATACGCATTATTTTCAAAATATTTGCATTACGATCATGTTGACCATTTATTACTTCGCATTGTTTCGGTTCAGTGATGTTAAATGTTTCTTCTATCTTATGGAATTTCAATCTTTGCAGAATACAATCTCGATATCCATCATACAGTGAACCGACTCGTCCAGTGGAATCAATTGCTACACGATGTATGTCACTAGGAAATGTATCCTTGGATGCTTTCTCTGTCTCCAAAGATGACATAATATTAAGAAATAGATGAGAAAAATTTAAATTATCTATAAAAAAGTCATTCAATTTGTGAAAAAATAAATCCAAACAAATACGATGAAAAAGCTATTGGGACTTATTTTTTGAGATTTGTGGATTTTTTCTAAGTTTCAAGATATGTGTTACCTATATCACATATTATGAAAAGATGATTCTTTTATAAGATCAATTTAAACTCACAGCGGTTGTCATACAAACTCCTTAACATCACCTAAGTTTTTGGTGAATCTTTATATACTTTCCTACCATCCATTTATCCATTAGTAGATCAATTTATATCAATAATTACTGTTCTACAATATTTACAATTAAGAACCCCCCGATACCTCAGTAGTTAGAACGGTAGTTGTTGTTCGTGCATGTAAGATTTGAATCCTTATTCGGCTCAGTCGTTTTTGTTACTACGAACTTTCTTCTGATTATTATATCACAAAAAAATTTTTATTACTATCTCTTTTAAAAATTTTGTCACATACTACTGAGTGAATGTATTCTAGCATCACCACCCAACTCTAATGAGTTCCAAAGCAGAAACAAACTTCAGGGTTATTTAAAAAACCTATATAAATCTCGACAAAATAAGCCCTAGAAACTTCTGATTTAGATCTATTCATTTAATTTCTATAATTAGTGGTTATAGAATTATTTATAGTAAGTACATGTTCTTAAAAATCATATCTTTTCAATAAACTTTCAATAGATTCTAAGCGTACAGTGATCATATTTTCTATTTCTTTTATATCATACCTTAACAGCACTGAATTTTATGTTTCTTTTTTCGTGATCATTTTGAGAAATACGTCTGTCTTTCTTCTTCTATTCCTTTTTATACTTCACTTTATGTAGCATTTCTTTTAACTTGCTTTGAAGAGTGAAGAACGAAAAAGAAAAAGCAAAACAAAATCATTTTGTTCGAACAACTGCGCAGAGAATATTGAATACTCACGTGGAAAAAATTCTTTTGTACTCATCGAAACATAACACTTCTTCAACATTTTATGATCTAGAAATTGCAAGTTTTCGATAGATTTCACTGTTGAAAGTGCAAAAAAAACAAATAAATTTCTAATAAATAAAATGATCGAATGTATGGGTATTATTTCAATATGAAATAATTATTATAATGATTAATGCTTTAAGGACGGACAACGTATATATACGTTCAGTTTCAAATTAACTCAAAATTGATTTGTGCATACCTTTTATGATGCTGTTAAGACCTCCACTGGCACATAAATTATCAATCGGTTATACTGTCAGTCGTATTAATATCTCATTCACCTATTTTTCTTTTGCATTTACATCCATCACTTGTGTTCTCTTTCCTTGCACCATTTTCCACTGATATCATATACAGTCTATTCTTTCATTTATCTTTGGATATGGCCGTGAGTGGGTCTGGATGTGGGTGTGGGTGGGGTTTAGGTTAAGAGAACACCCACATACCCACACCCTTGCAGATTGGCACACAGCAGACGGTATTATAATTTTAGAATGATAATCGAATTGAAACATATATTCTTGCAGAAAAAAGTCAACTTTGCAAAACGTGCATAGAAGCTTTCTTAACAGAAATTTATATGGCTGCACATGGACGCAAACAATTGCAAGCACGAAGTGGTCTTATAATTTTGCTCACTCTTATAAATAAATATTTGGCGATATCAAGCTAACTGGCAGAATGAAATAACTCGCTCTCATCGGCTCGATCGAGACCTCGTCTATCATGGCAATGATTACGAACAATTTTTTATTCTTTGATTAAGCCTTGATTGAACTTTTCTTTATCGATCCCGATACGCACATAATCGACGAATGTTTAGGACTTGCTGATTGGGCTTGGCAACGCTCATAATGAGATTGTCTATATTTTATTAGTGGTGAATATAGTGTTTTTGATTGATTTTAACAAACAAACTCATTTCAATATTACTTCCGACAGAATTCTTTTTTTCCTGGCAAGGCAAAAACTGAACTTTAAAATTGACCAATCGCGTCAAATAATGTCACGGATAAATGCTGACACATTCAGAACATTCGAATTCTCTTTATTTCGAAAGTATTCAATCAATGAGCAAACTTTATTGTTGATCACCTGTATCACTGAAAATAAGGCAAATAATACTGATTGACAATCGTCTCGACCGCATCTGCAGTTCTTGCTCTATTACATAATTCACTTGCACAAGTAAATGAGACTTTGCGTTGACTCAATACTTTGCCACCGCCGATGGGCATTTTTGCCACATAAATGACAACACGAAGAGCGGAGATTGCGGGTTCACAGGAAGGCGAATTCAATATGACGTACTGGGAGTGTAGGAACTTAAGAAAGTGGTACTTGGAGTCGATAGAACATCCATCAATGCTGCCTGTAATTTTCCGTATTCCCTCTTGATCATTTTCGGAGCGATGTTCAACAAGAATGCCATTTGACACCGTTCGCCTAACGTATATGAACAGAACAGTTTAGTTACCAATTGAGTACCATTAATGGTTGTCACTTCGCTCACATAATCGTGCTTCTTATTATTATCGATGTCCGACCGTCGTCGATCAATAACTTCGGATCTGTCCCAGCCAAAGAGAACTCGAATAGTTCTCTTAATATAGTCAATTTTGAAATCGACTTGACAGAGATCTTCATATCCATAATCCTTCGGCTTGCATTTCTCCGGAATGATCAGCGGTGAATCGAAGGATTGCAAAAAATTGACAATTATCCATGCACTTACCATTCACTGCCCCCAATGATAAGCACAAACATCCGATCAGTCACAGCAACATGATTTTTTTTTGTCGAGTGCGTAATTGATTTGCTATCTTTGCCGATATATATAATGTCATTTTCGCAATAGTGGTGAGAATCAAATCATCTGTCATGTTTTATGATTTTGTTTTTATCAATTACTACACTTTCAACATTTTTTTTTGCTTGATTTCGTTGATCTCTTTGGTTTATTACGCTAAACTGCCGTGTACAACAAAAAAACGTGAATTGACTGTTCGGCTAAGCGAAAGACAATATGCAAATCCAAACATACCACTAGATACTGACAGGACAAAAAAGAAAAACCGTACATCATGAGAGAATAGATTATATAAAAGAAATTTGATGAAGAGCCACGCACCAGAATAGACACAAAAGGAAAAAAAAAGACTTGATTGTCACTTGTTGTGGGGATTAAAAATAAAGAGCAGTTAAGCAAAGTGTTGATGGAGTATTTATCAAAAACAATTTACACGTATAAATTGGTCAAAATTGAGCGCTTTTGCCTACTTTGAATTTTGTAAATGTTTTCTTGATTAGCAAAAGAAAAACATTCTCCGCAATCAAGATATACTTTCAAGTGATATTTATTAGTTATTGATAGATCGAATGAAAAATTCTATGTTGCTAATTATACTATGCGAATAAACAGGAGCTTTGTCTTGAATAAAGAAAATCCTCTCATGTGTTAAAAATTCGTCAAACATAGCGTTTTTACGGCAGTTTGTCGTTAAAACAGAGTTATGACAAAACTCACCCATATCCTCATTATCTAACATGTATGAATTTGGAAGAACAACTGATGTAAAAGAAATCGTTTGAATTAGTGTATTTTATCAAATCACAGTTGAGAGCAGTAAATTAGTATATGTATATATCTTTTTTTTTTTAACTTTCTTTTCGCAATCGACTAGTGATCAATCCAAAGAACTAAACAGACTCTTTTTCCCACTACTAATCGAATCTGACATGTAAAATTTCTTAATCTTGGAACATTTTGTATAAGCCAGAATGATAGTTGTTCATCATTTAGCGTTGGATTAAATGGATTACATTCTATTTTAACACTATATAATTTGCACATTTCATTTAACACTAACAAAATATTATCCATTGGATGATAAATTCAAACTGAGCTTCTCTAAATTTATTGAAAATATTTTATTGAGAATTTCTATAGATTTACGATTTTCCTTATATCTATTTGGTATCATATTCAATAAATATAAATTTTTGATTTATTTGTTTAACAATGAGCATACTTGTTGATTGATAAAATTATTTGTTATTTGTATAAGTGTATATCAAGATGATTTCAATGATTGTAATTTTGTAGAATGTACTAATATATATATATGAAAAAAATTCTTCAGAATATATTGTATTATTTTGTTTAACTGTTAAATGTTCGATTTTTGATAAATTAATAAAATTATCAATCGGTATTAATTTGTGTAAATTATGAATAGTTAATGAATCAAGATTAGGAAAGTAATAATGTTTCGCAGTTTCTGTATCATAGTGATAATCAATTGAAAAATTTCTCTTGCTAAACTTAAATAAAATTGTTCATCACAATATGGTAAAGTGTACAAATGAATATTATGTTTGTTATGGTAACCGACATTTGGAAGATGATGATGATCACAATTAATAAACTATTGTTTCTTCTTTTAATCAGAATGAAATCTGAAATATTGATAATAATTGTTCTACATTTATTTTATATAAATGTGAGTAAATTTTTAAACGAAATTCTTTTAATTGTAGTAAATATCTATGAATTAAATGTTTCCATTGTACACAACGAATAAATTGGATTCTTCTTGCTGCGATAAATGTAAATATTTTTAGTTTCGGTATTCATACAAAATAATACTTTAATATCATCAAATACTATATTGGATTTTTCGACAGGTTCAATTTTTAATTGACAAATTTCTGTTGTTATTTTTGTTGAAAGAAAACCGTTGTCGACGAAAGTAGTCTCAGCAATTAATTGCACATTTAAATTTATTAAGATGGGTGTACATAATAATAATTGTTCTCGCTGATACATTGAATACATACTAATTGATAAATATTTCAGTGATGGTACTGTTATTTTAGGTAGTAAACCATGTACAAGTTTAATCGATAAATAGGATAATTTTGAAAGAAGATTTAATTTTGTAATCACTTCATTAAAGTCTTGTTCAGTATTTCCAATTAATATTAATGATTCAAGATTAACAAATTGTCGAATATAGAATAATCCAAAAAAATAAATATATTTGTCGACATGTATCATCGGTATCGAATAATATCAATGATCGAACTTATTCAGAACAAATCGATCGACAAAAAAAGAATCAAATTTAGATTTTTGCCACGATTTAAAATTAAGATTGTATTTACCATACTTCTTCCAAAGATTATCAATTCGTTTATTTGATCGTTTAAATGCGTATAGTATGTGATATGTTGTTAAGTATTCAAGCAATTCTAGAGGCTAATTGATCGAACAAAAATCAGTTTAATCTTATTCTATTATTTGCGAAGATACACTAGTTTTAGGTATAGAATGTTCAACTTTATTTCAGTTTTTAGCCAAGCACAAAGCAAATAGTTACTGAATAGTATTGAGGAAGAAATATTTCGAGGTACTGGAGCGCTTTTCAGCAAGAACTTCGTGCATCTTGTAGACCTTAGTGGACTATGTCTACTATAAAAAGAAAGTTCGTACCCATGGTCTGTTTGTGAGTAAATCGAACGTTCTTAGTTCTATAGGTGGAGATTTCCACAGTATCTCAACTACGTTGTATAAAGATGATCTCCGATTTTCATGAAGTATTCAGCGTTTGTAGAGCTTTTAATTCTAAGCGTTTTTATAAAAAAATATTTTTCAAAAGACTTTTGCGTAGATGGAGATAGACTGGACATACTTTAAGAAGCAAAAATCAAAAAACGTTTTCTTCAGAGTTTTTTCCATTTTTGCTTCTTAAAGTATTATCAGTCTGTCTCTATAAAAAATCGATGGATTATCATTATTAATACAATAGAAAGTAAGATTTTGAGTAACAACCATATTTATTGTTGATATTGCTCAAGATCAAGAACAAGTTGCACAAAAGATAAAAGTTGAATTTCTAGATAATTTGAGATGTTCCTCCAAAAGCTATTAATAAATCACAAAGTGCTAAAATACAATGAGCTTAGCGATTACATCATGTTCAATAATCTCACTGCAGCAGACACTATTATTTCCGCCCGACAAATCACGAAATAATCTAGAATGATATCTCTTAATATTAGAGATAACAAGAAAAATAGTTGATATCAACTATTCCTATATATTAGAACACCATCGAAAAAATAATGTCCAGGCAAAACTTCTTTCGTGCTAATAAATGCCATATAGAACGAGAAAGATAAACGAAAATATGGTTGAAATAAATATTCCTTCCCAAAAAGATACATAATGTGAAATACAACTCTGTCTTTTCAATAAACAAACTGAAAGTCAGTGGTTGAAGTTACGATGTAGATATAACTAGTACAACAAAAATGAATGAATTATATTAATTTTTAATCTAGTATTATTTTATTTTTATAAATCAGAATTCGATTGAACATGTTGAAAACAATTCTTTTTTCATTATTAGATCCATATTAAGATATCATTATCAGTTTCTGGATCTCTTATGATCAAATATGTTAACGGCAAATGACTTTTTAACCATTGAATAAGTTCATCATTGGTTTTTGTTAATATTGATCGTTGATCACATTTTGTATCTATGCATTCGACAATTAATGCTCGAAGATTGAACATATTTTTGACAAGATGAACGATACTTTCGCGATTCTTAACTCGAATGGAAAGAACTTCACATTGACTACCAAGAGATGAACGACTCAATGTAGTACATTCTTTCTCGTTGAAACAATAATTACAGTCATATAAATCGAAACGACGAACTGATTTATTTATATATTTGAATAATGATATTTGTAAAGGTAATGATGTATCTTGACGAATAGTTAGTGTGTAAAGATGAAGTGCTTGATCTAATAAAGTTTGCAATTGAGATTGAAAAGCATCAGTATGAGATGATACTGTAAGCGAGCGTAGTCGGTTTAAACTTGGAACAATAGACCAAAATTGATTATTGATAGGGAGTTTTATATAAAGAGATTTGATATTAGTTAAACGAATGTAATAAGGAATCGGTCGACTGAAAAATGTTTCGTTATAGATGCTAGTCATATTATCATAAAATTCTTTTTGATTATCGAGTGGATATGTCGATCGCCATGAGGTACAAATACTTTCATAGCAATCAAACGAATCAGATAGAGTGTTGAGATAAATAAATCTGTTCTGTGTAAAACATCGAACAAACCATTGATGTTCATCAATCCAGAATAAACTTCTAAATGAATTAATCAATTGATCAACTCGTTCGTGAATATTTTCCTGTTGAAAAAGTCTTTTTTTCACTTTTAGTCGAAATATTTTAAGTGTAGGCAAGTAATTACGAATGATTTGTTCCCATCGATAACCATCGATCAGTTCAGACTGTATGTTGATACCCAAATGACATAAATTAGGCATACCTTGGAAGAAAAGATGAATTTTCGAAGTGAGATGATCATCAAAAAAATAAAGATTCAATGTAGTTAATGTTGGCACTGGCGATACTATATAATCAGTATCAATAACAGACTTCATTGATGTTGAAAGATGTTTAAGACGAGGAGTATAATCAAATAATCGTTTTATTTGATTCCGTTGAAGTTCACTTCCAAAGATAGATAAATATTTGAGAGATGAAGAGATAACTGTTGGCATATGAAAAATCTGTTGTTCTTCCATAATACTAAAAAAACAATTAGTAAGTTTTGGTAAACTCCAAACTGTGTCAACAATAAATTGGAAATTGACTTGCTCATTTGGAAAAGAACAAGAATAAAAATTTAAATGAGTAAGATTATTCATATGATGACATTCATTTAAGAGTTTCAATAATGTTTGATATGAATGAAGGTTAGATAATGAAAGTGAACGTAGATTAGTGAATTGATTGAATGATGGTATATAAGATAGAAATAGATTAATTTGTCCGGGAGTTTCTCTGTAATCAGACAGACTAAGAGATATAATACGATTAGCAATAAATGGTAAATGTCGTTGACATATCATATCAAAATGACGTTTTGATGCACAATTAAATTTAAAATAATAAAAAGGAAATTGGGTGTGAAGAAGAAAATTGAAACGTGAATTGAGACCATAAAATGCCCAAAAAAGATCGATTCCATTAAAATAATCGAACAGATCAAGTAAGATCTCGTTGGGTAATAATTCGAAATTCATTATGTCTACCAAGCAATGTAAGATGATGTTTCATATAAAATATCCGTACACATCACAATAAAATTGACTTTTGTCTTTCTGTGGTTAAAAATCATAGATATTTTATTTTTCTTTATTTCTCAAAGGTTGATGGGGATGAATCAACTATTCCAGCAATATATAAATAAACAACATCATTTGATGAAAAAATATGATTCGTTTGTTTGCAAATTAACATAGGCGACATCTATTTCCGATTAAAATTTGAAAAAAAATCAGATTTGAATAGAAGACGTTGATATTATAATTTTCTTCATTAGTAACAGATTTTATCTGCAATAAATGGAAGTTTATAAACGAGTATTTTTTTATTCTGAACAGTTCTAATAAAAATTAAATCTGCTTGAAATCATTTTGACACATCGAAGATTTTCATGACTTGCTTCGAAGGGTAGGAATATTCAGAATGAACTAGTTTTGGATTTTATGATAAATATTTTTTTTTGTTCATATCACAGCTTGAAAACCTCTGAGTAAAACTGTATTAAATGGTACTTTAGAATACCTATTGACCTATAAGAGTTATTCACTTTATCGTATAGTTCAATCGCTTAAATGATGGGTAAGTTATATTTCTATTATTTAGACTAGTCGAGACGAAACATTACACAAGACTACAATCTGTTAGACGCAGCGTCACGGAGATCCTTCCTTTTTCGATTTAAAATCAATTTTGGACGAGCATTCGAACGGCGCAATATATCTAATCTTTTTTGCAAAAACGACTGAACATAACAAATAGAATGAAGCCTGTCAGTTACATAGTCTCAAGACCGTAACGAACTTGAGAAGGGAAATGTCCGTAAGATAGTGATACTTGCTTTATCTGGCTTCTTCACACAAACAGTCGTCTGTTCATACACAGAACATATGCTTACATGGAACAGATAGACAATGAACGGTATCTCGTTACAAAGATGGGAATTAAAGACTTCGAATGATTTTGGGCTAGTCCTATATTAGCACTTTTTACCCGTTCTTTGTTCGCCTGGAATGTATCACTTCAAATGATTTCGCTCCTCAACATTCAATATCGATTGCAAGGTGATCATATTTTGACAGATACTCATGATATAAATCGAACTGTCATAGTGAGTGTAAAAATACATAAAAGAAGCGTTGAACACAGTTTATTGACGTTGGTTATTTGGTATTAATTTGCAAAAAAAGTTGTCAGTGCACGAATAAATACTAGGTACATTTGAGGTACATTCGTTTTTAGAACGGGGTACACACTTGGGGGACATTATTTTCCTTATAAGATAGGCGATTTAATTGAGGAAACCGTTGAAATAAAGCTTCTTTTGTAGAAAATAACACAATATTTCACTATTCTAATCACTGGGTCAGCTTTATTGTTCGTTTCCTCTCAAAAAGCATCACGCTAGTTTATTCGTGACGGCTGTTGCAAGTCCTGGGACAAATATGTATTAATTTTTCATTGACTAAAACATGCTTCCAAAGAATCGAAAATATCTATTCTTGAGAGTCTTTTTCAATTTTCTTCAATTCCTTCTAGTATTTTGTCGTTGTTTCCCCGTTAGATGCGTCGTTTGATTCTGTGCGAACCAGGTAAAAAAACAGACGGCATTACTTTGGGCAGCATGATCGAAAAGTTGAAAAGAATGATCTACAGAATAACGTCAAAATCGAGTGTCTAACGATAATAAGCAGAAAGTGTTTTGAGATTCGAATGACGTCCTCGAAAAGAAAGAAACCAGGCGAACTAGAAACCATGAGAGATCTGAAAAACTCGCCTGTCAATAGGCGAGACTTCTTATATTACAAATTCTTAGAAACGACAAACTTCAACATCGCACAAAAAAAAACAAATAGCAACTAAAAGATACTAAGACCACAGACACCGATTTTTTAAATGTTACCTCAAGAAAACAGTAATATTTTCGCGACAGTTTCTTCACAGTGAATGAAATGATCTAATACGGAAAAACAATAAGCAAAATTGCGTCAAATAAACTGAAGAAGATTCTTTTCCACTTTGCATTTTTCTGTACTCAAAACAGTGTCCATTACGTGAAAAATGAGTCACGATAGAACATTCTTGAATATATACAGTTAAAAAGAGCTTTTGACATGAATTCTAGATCAGTATTTTCGATCTTTCGAAAATATATTTTAGTCGATGAGAAATGAGCACATTTGTATTTGTCCAAGAAGTTTTGCAAGAGTCGTTAGGAACAAATAATGAAAAAATAAGAAATGAGAAAAGAAGAAAAATTTATTTAAACTTTTTGTATTGTTCATAGTAAAAATAATGTATAAAACCGAAAAGTTTAGGACTAAATTAAACAAGATGAATGCTTATATCTATTAATTGGTTCTTGACTAATACATTCTATTATAAATGTTCTTATGAAAATGAGAAAAATCTAGTGGAAACATAACTTATTTCATCAGAAGATTAGTTAAGCGCACGGAACACTTAAAAATCGAAATGGGATACAAAATATGTACCCCAGGGGTACGAAATTTTCTGGGGTAAAAAAAGGCCAAATGGGATATTGTACCCCAAAATGGGGTACAGTTGGCAGCCCTGGAAAGATGACAACTCGATCATTGAGGATGACATTAGCAACATAAGTATTTACGATTAAAAATCATTCGCCACTTACGAGAGAAGGTCCCAAAATGATTAAAAGCTTTTGATCCCATGTTTTGCCCAGTGGTAGAGAACCTATAGACTAGAACAACCTCCAAAAGGTTCTTGAGAACGTTGAGATTTGACCGAGATATTCAATTTTTAGTGAATTCTCTCTATAGAACTTTCAGTTTTTTAAAATTTTTGATTGAGTCTCTTCGAAATATGAAAGTATGCATATTTTGAAAAATTCATATCTTGAAGAGACCCAATCAAAAACTTTTGAAATGTTGTACACCTTTATCTGAACAAAGTTTTAGGTCAAAATTCAAGAATATGTTTCCATTGAAAAATCATTGGAGAAAATATGGACTTAAAATCTTTTAATCATCTGCGAACCTTTCCTCGTTAGTTGAACTAAAGATCAATGCTTGTTGTTCAACAAAAAGTGTTTCTTGCATTGAGGTATAATAACACTTCGATAATTTTCTGCAATTCTCTGGTAGCATTTTATTTTCCAATATTCATATGTTTTCAACAGAAATAAAACTACTATTGTGATAATTTATTGACAAGCTTAATGACACTGTTAAAGTCAAATAGGTATTAAAAGAATCGATCTAAGAAATGATATTTCGTTGAAAATGCTTCAGACTAATGTAGTCATCTTATTTACATAGTTGGTGCATATATTGACTAGCAGCAGATAAAACTAAAAACAACCAACTATTATATTGGAAAAGCTGTCAGACTGCAATTTTTCTCTTCGTTTATCTCATATAGAATATTGTCTTCTACTATGTTATATACATTATATCTAATTGTAAGTGAAGAAGAACACACAATGAATTTCAAATTATTACCCAATAAGATCTTAGTTGATATGTTCGAATATTTAAATGGTATTGATCTTCTTCGTACATTTAATGGTCTCAATTCACGTTTCAATCTTATATTGTACAAGCAGTTTTATCCCTATTGTTTTCATTTCGATTTCATATTCAAACGCAAAGTCGATATGATATGTCAACAACATTTATGGGGTGTAGGTATGAGTGGGTATCTTGGTCTACATGTATTCTCACCCACACACTTTTTGCATATACACGATAATAATATCAATTATTTGTGTTCGAATTTTAAATATTATAACAATTGTTGGACACATATTTTCCATAATGTGGTTAACTGTTGGTAGTGTTTGAACATTTAGTATACAAAGACAAGTAGAATATATAATTAACTGCGCTTTTAATTTTCGTTTTTATTGTAATCGGGCATTATATCAATTTACTCATTCTTATTTAATTATTATTTATGTTTTTATTGCATTATAACTTTGTTGTCGATCAAACCAGCAGAAATAAATTGATTCAATTTTAATAAAATATGTTACATATTATCTAATTAAAATCTTCTGTAACTTATTTTACAAATAAATATTTCATATGAAAGTTTATTTTTGCATGTGCTTTTTTAAAATAAAATAAAAGGAACTTTATATTCGAGAAACTAAATCGAAAAGAGTATATTATGATAAAATAATATACTTATGTCAAGAAATGATGTCATTATATGGACAATCCAACAACAAACTACCCTATAATCTTAGCAATAAGAGCTATATTAGATTAAAAAATATATTTTATAATAAAAGGATCATGTTGATTGTGACAAATCATATTATGTAAAAATAGGGGAAAATGTCAAACATTTTAATCTTGATTTTGTTCTTATAATCGTGACAATTACTTAAACAGATTCTTCTCCGTTAGTTCTGATTATAAGTATTTGTAGATAAAAAAAATTTGCGAATTCGCCTAATGTCAATTGCACAAATTATTTTGTATAAACAGATAGCATATTTTCATTTGTAACAATATGTTCGCCAATATCTATTTTCCACCATTATTCTCTGTTTCAACACTTTAATTTTATGTGAATCAATCTATTTTTGTTCATATTTTATTCATATGACAAATTAATAATAATCACCTTATTTGTGCATTAGGAAAATAGTCTTTTATATGTTCAGGAAATTGTAGTTTTGGACGAAAAAAGTCATTTAAAGATTCACGAAGTTCTAGTTCTCTAGATAAATAGATGTAATTCATTTTTGCGCAACTACTTCATGTTGAATTTCTTCCAAAAATTGCGTGTAACTTTTCTCACTATTTTATAATTCATATACACATGAACATGACATAGTAATCATATTTTGGTATCGAATAAGAATTATTCATGATAATCTACGCAAGTATTAAGAAGATTAAGATATTCCAGATAAGGATATTGAATGATTGATAAATCTCAATTTTCATTCTCTGCTTTTCTGAATTGTTTATTAATCTGTTGCGTTTGATTAACTATCGTTAATTCTTTCATCAATGGAAATGATTGGGCAACTCGAAGAAAAAATTCATGTTCGAAAGTACATTCATCAAATAATGACACTTTATGAACACATTTAAATATTCCACCTGGAAAATTATTTGTTATATCATAGTAATGCTTTAGTTCATATGGATATGAATAAATATGGCAACGACCTTTTTTTTCGTTTTGGAAAATAATCAGCATAATAGATTATTTGTTTAGCGTCAAAATCTCTGAATGTCTCTTAAATATATTCATTTGATGGTAAATTCATTAAAAAAACGACTTGATGAACGAATATTAAATGTGAATTTGTATAACCTTGGCATATGATTAATAATGTTTATCTTTAAATCATTACCATCAACAACAAGACACAAATTGAGTTTTTCTAAATTTATCATTCGATGTAAAAATGGTTTAGGAAATATAGTAAAGATATGTTTAAATATAATTGCATTACCATCAATGGGAAACCTTTATATTTCATTTGTACTAATGTCAATAACAAGCGCTGAAATTTGGTTTTTCAAGGTACGAATTAACGAAGTTTCGTCTGAACAAAGAAAAGATTAAAAAAATTATTAACAAAAATATTTTATTAGATTTTATGTAATTGCTTAACTCTAAGTATGCATGTTTTATTCGTATGTTTTTACAAATGCTATAATCTACATATTTGATTTTCTTCTTTGGACTTACTTAATTGATTATATTCTATCGATGTCATTAATCCTTATTAATATTATTCTACATTTTCTTTTTCAAAAACTTGCATAAATTGAAATCGGAGATAATATCTAAACTTTTTATTTTTAGATAAATACTTACGTTTCATGGAAAATGATCTCTTTGATGACAACTTTCTTCACATTATATTGACAAATAAATACGAATCAAACATGAAATTAGCTTCAACTTATTAATGAAATTTATTCATGAATTTTCTTGAGTTATACTTTTTAATATCTATCACTAAAAGAATCAAAGTTACATATCTTACCGATAAAAAGACTTATAACTGTTTCTGCTTCAACATTATTTGTAACAAGAAGAATACGTTTCATTGATCGTGATTCAAGTTCAAGCCATTGGATTTGGCAATGGATAAACAGGACCATCTAGTACAGCCATCAGGAAGATCAAATGATTTGTAAAAATAGAATCATGTGCTATTCTATTGAATTGTTTACTGATATCTGCTAAAGAATAAAGTATTTCCGTAGTAGCCAATTTGTTAAAAATAATTATAAGAATTTCATCAGGTAAATCGTTCAATTGAACACATGAATATTCCATATTCATTTACACGTTTATCTATTTTGCTTATGTTATAAATGTCAGTTTTTGTACTGACGTGTTTGTGTTGTATATGACCGATGTCTTCAATATAACCGATGCATATTTTTTTATCATTTAAATTGACAATGAATGAATGGGTAATTGATCGAATATTTTTTTATCATCTCTTTTTCTGTTCAACGCATCATTTTATAGGCGGATTTTTTATATTTTAATACACAGAATTTCATAACTATGAGTTTATTCATATTTAAGAAGATTTATCTTTTGAAAATGAAAAATAATTTTCTTTTCATAAAGGATGTGAATGAATTTAATAGCAAAATCGACTCTATTCCAAAACTAACAGAAGCCATCATTCAGGATGGATATTTTCAAAGATAATTAGCTGCACTTTTTCGAAACAATATTTTATCTTTATCACCTAAGTTTTCAGACTAATGCAACGACATATTTAGGGTGGGGTGGGGTGTGGGTGTGAGGGTGTGAGTGTGGGTGTTGGTGGATCTTCTCTTCATCCACACCAAAAACCACACCCCACACCCACATCCCACACCCACACCCACACCCACACCCACACCCAACACTTTGAGTCTCATAGTATAAAAAAGCTACACCTATTTTCTTACTCTCACTCCACCCACGTCTGACACCGCAGCAGAGATAATTTGAGACTCAAATGATTAATGTAATCTCTCCTTGACTCAATATGGAAAAAATTCTTTCCTGTATATTATTAATATCAAAGTGAATCAGTAAAAGATTGTAGAACATTTTTTTTTCATTACAAAGAATGTTATTAGTAATCGTATTAGTAAGAAAGAAAAATTCTTTTTTATAAATTATGCGTAGATAAGCAAATAAAACAGAGATAAATAGTCGTAATCAGTTTTATTTCTAGTAATATTTACTTGGATTTTTCCTATCAAAGTATAACGTCTATATATACGTATACACACTTTGTTTCGTGCAGTATGCTCATTAGATTCCTAAACTATCAGTATTCACAAACTATCAGATAGACAACATATTAAAAATGCAAAAGTAAGAATAAAAAAAGCTTTATATTGTGTTACGAATATATTTCTTATTTCTAGAATTGAAATCATCTTTGCATTTATCATGAGTTTTACAATGATGGTTGTTGCAACGAACTTAAATAGTACACAAAAAAAAGCAGGTTCTTGTTTATCATCCGTTGATTGCTATCATGGTGTATGTCGTAACAATAATTGTGTGTGTGATAATGGTTATATGACATGGAAGGATAGTACACCATGCTCGTACGAACAATATTCTCAGCTAGGAGCTTTTTTATTCTCGTTCTTCTTGGGCTAAAATTATTCAAATATTTCGACATGAAACAGTCAAATGTACATAATCGGGCTGAAAAGAATATATGATCACATAACCAAATAAAATATCGGTTTAGGTGTTGACTGGTTTGTTTTAGCTAAAGGTAATGCAAGATATATTGTAGCTGGCGTTTTTAAGATTCTAACTCTTGGTGGTTTTGGAATTTGGTGGTTAGTCGATGTAATACGGATTGGAGTTAATAAATTCAATGATGGCAACGGTGCTCCGTTGAAGCCTTGGTGAATTAATACACATAAGTGGATTAAACAGGACTAAAATTTATTTTTAAAATCAACTGGAATTGTACAGGATATTTTAAGCATTTTTCTTTGTGAATAAACTCATTGCAAAAAGATTTCATTTACGTGAATGTCGTCTCACATTAGAATCGGAAAAATCTCAGTTCAATTTATTCATAGAACAATGATTAAATTTGGTGATTGTAGAATTGATCGAGATTTTTATTGTATAAGTTCTTTTTATCGGAAAAACAATAGAAGTAAAGTAGATGATCAGTTATTATGCCAGGAAAATAGAAAAAAAAATTGGATGTGGTTAAATTCTAGTGAATTATATAGCTTGTAAATTGATTTTCAAACAGACAAGAATTATTAATAAATCTCATATACTACTGCTGTCTTTTCTTTGATACGCTCGTTTGATCGAATCATCGATATGTGCATATAAAGAAGCCAACTATAGGTCTCCTTTTGTTATTGTGTTTTATTTTAGACATATGGATATAAAAATTATAGTAGAATAAATATATATAAGTAAATGAACGACTTAATATTGAAATATAAAACTTTTTATTTTAATAGCAGCGAAGATTTTTTGTAATTGACAATGTCAGCAAAGAAAGACTATCGAAAATGACAGAATTTACTTTTGCAGAATAACTGCAAAAGTAAATTCTGTATAAACTATCTTTATAATGGAATTAACTGACATTGTGCAATTACATTAGCACTATTACATAGTGACATATATACACAATCGTTGAATGTTTTTCGTTCTTCGTATAGTATACGTATAGGCTGTTTATAACTACCCAGGTGCAAAAATCGTACGAGGATCATATAAGATCTTATACGATCTTACTGACAATTAGATTTTGTAAGATTCAGATTGTATGATCTTACGAAATCTTGCAAATTTCTTGTTCTAAGATTTAATATGATTCTTATTATAAGATGCTAGCGTCAATCTTATATGATTCTTGATATAAGATTCTTGCAAGATCTGAGGATGGGAGTCTTGTAAGATATTGTAGGATCTTGTCAGACCATAATTTTAAGATATTCCTCATGCAAACTAGTTTTTATAACGATAGGTTTATAGATGTGGATTACTACACGTGTTTAAGTGATGGAATGCTTCCTAATAGAAATATAATTTCTTTTTAAATTGCAAATACACGTTTTGTATACAGCGATGGTTATTATAAAAACAGCACACTACTAATCAATTTGATTTGACTTGATTAAGTTTATTATTGTTTTGAATTTTATCTCGTTAAATTCATTTTATCGTTTATTCTTATTGAAAAAAACATTTTTTGTATTTGTTTGTAAAACTGCAATTAATAATAATTCTCTAGTGTAGAGGACATGTAAGCTGACAATGGCTAATATATACTATATATATGAGCGAGAAACCGTTACATTCGTCTTATATTCTGGTATGGTGGAAGAAATTGCACGTCATATATTTTTTCAAAAATACAACTAGGCTTTTTATATTAATTTATAATTCTTCAAAATTATCCAGTTTTGTTTTAGATATTTGAAATTCGTATCGATCTTATTTAGTCTTTGTGGTTTCATCGACTGAATTTCGATATTTCTGGTTTATTTTGACTCAAACTAATGATGAAAAATATTATTTTATTTTACTTTCAATCAATGTGAAAGGAGTTAGTTTCATTTGATGTATATGCTTAACTTATTTCAGTTAAGATATAATTAATCTAAGAAGATTATCTACTTATAGTCAAAGTAAAATGAAAGCAATTTAATACAACTATACTTGTTTTACAACAAAATAGGTTCATTTTCATAAGATTATTTATTTAATAGTCTGGGAAAATAAAATAAATTCAAAGTGAAGAGATTAATCTTACTTGAAATAAAGTTAAACTAATGGAATTATTGCATTTATATTTTTTTAATGCAAAATTAATATTCAATTTGATAATATTATTTAGAATTTACATTATATGGAACTAAATTAACCTAATTTTATCATTTTATTTTATTTCGATTGAAACAAAATTAACATACTAGATTTTTTCTACAATTAAATTAAATTATTTTATCTGATCATTCCAACTAACACAAAATAAATATAATACAATTATTCATTTATGATTAAAATAAAATCAAGGAAACCTTATCCAATATAATTTGGTTAAATCCGTTTTCCAAACTACAACTCTGTAATTAATTAAGTCAATTTCAATATCGAACTCTACTCTATATACTGGTGGTCGATTATTCGAGGACGAGCTTAAAATTAACATCAAACCGAACTGTGATCTGTTTTCGATAAAACTACGCATTACTCATTGCATGTTTTCATGTGGAAATGATAAATATTTTTTTTATTTAAAAATAAATTTAGTCTGAGACGAAGTAAAATGATAAAAATTTCGCGATAAATGTTTTCTCTTGAAACAAAGAGTTTGAAGAAGGTAACTCAGCCTGTTGAAAAATTAGGTAGAGGTGATGAAAAGTGCAAGAATATCAATCATGCGATGCATCCTATAGTTGTATAGAAGCATGTATGAATAATGCAAGATCTTATCAGATCATACAATAAGATCATATAAGAATCGTACAGTACGATATGATCAGATGTGCAGGCTTTATGACTATCTTATAAAAATCATACAAGATCGTATATGACTTTCATACGATCTTATATGATCATATAAGATTTCACAGTAAGATCTTGTAAGGTATTGCAATATCGCACAAGATCTTATTGTCGGATTCTTCGACCTGGGGCTTCTTCGGATGAATCATGCTAAACCAAATATTAAAATGAAAATTTCAAATAGATAAAAATAAATCTACCGTTAATTGAGTTTCATAAATTGTTAAACTAATTTTTTTAGTAAAAAAATATCAATTACTTGGGGATCATTATCTTCTAAAATCACTCGATTATATTCTTGAAAAATTTTATCCATTGAAAGACGAGGAGATGGATAACTATCAAATTTACATTTCATTATTACGAAAAAAGTTAAACAAAAAAAAGTTAAACAAAAAAAACAAAACAATATTTCCTATGAAAAGAAGCATTTACCGGAATGGTTAGGTATATTATATACAGTATAATTTTCATGATGTTCACGACGTACAAGATTAACAGTTCATTTAGTCAAAAGATTCGTAACATCAATTGATATTCCATTAATTAGCTATAAAGAAAGAGAAAACCTATAGATCAAGTCTTCTGGATTTTTTTATTTAACTTTACTTGTACGGGCGTATTATTCGTATAAACCTGTTCTAAAGAAAGATTTTCCATTGAATCACGTTGAATAGGACAAGAAAAATTGACTCGATTTACCAGTTTCAATAACATCTACTTGACACCAAAGAGTATCATTATCAATTGATGAAACTCGATTGATTTTTAATCTATCATTTTTTTTGGTTCACAATTTGATGAAAAAAAGGATTTGTCTTATCTCGTCCTTTAAACTAGAAAATTTCAGCAGATAGATTTGTATTTATTCGACATTTGATTAAAACAGTCGAACCTAATTCAACATATCAAATTGATTCACTGAGAAATATTATTGAAACTAGAAGAAAATAAAATGAATTGGTTTCATTTCGAGTATAAAGATTCTACTTGTAACATTTATTAGAAAAGTTTCGAAAATTGATTTTCCATCTTGATGAAAATCTAAGCATTTCCATACTTCTCGATCAGTTTCGGTTAAATTTTCTACAAATATTTTTTTTAAAAATAGAAAAAAAAATTTTTCTTAAAAAACAAACTAGATCAAGTAATTGTGTATCACTAGCGCGAACATTACTTCCTTGAACAAGAAGTAAATCCAAACATCTATTAAATAAAAAATTACAAAAGAAAATCGAACGAAATGTTTACTTTTTATTATTTAATGAAGTTCCTTGAATTTATTGAAGAGTAATACTAACATTTTAAAGATTTTTTTCTGGCCTACTTACATGAAAAGAAATCAATTGAAATTCTACCTCAGTACAAATGGTAAAGTAAAATTTCCTTTATTATCTATATTTTCTTCTTTAATATCAAAATAACAACGAAATTTAATTACTTCATCAAATGATTGTTTACTATGTGATGCTTAATTTAAATTTAATGATGTTCGGCGACAAGAATCTAATGGTTATTATTCGGTATTACTGTTGTTCCACGAAATGCATTTGAAAAACTTAACAAAATTTGATAAATCTATTTTAAATTAAAGATTTTGTTTTTTGTTAGAGAAAAAAAAGACTTACAACATCTTGATTTTCCCATCGAAAAACATGAGGGTGTGGATGACGATGTTGGATAGTGTTGAGTGTGGGTCTAGTCTTCTCTCGCAGCTGCACCCATCCTCCCACAACCACACCCCAAATCTTCTGACAATTCACCATTTTTCTGTTATTTGCAGCGCCCAAACCACAAAATGACAAATATTAATCATAACAACCATTTAAAATTTTTGACAGTCACATAGAATATATGAATCTACAAAAAGGCGAAAAAATAACTGAGCTAGTGCGCAGAAAAATCGATCGACTCCATCCCAAAATTGATTTAAATCTTCATCTTCTCATACACATACTACGGGATCTTTGAGTATTCTTGAAAGCAATGTTGTATGACGGTGATCGAGAACAAGAGTACACTTGGTGACGACTGATAAATGTCATACAAAAATTGTTCTTTTTTTAAGAAATATTCATATTTGTATTTTAAAGTTAAAGAGAAACAAAAAGAAATCAAAATTTATTGTATGAAAGAGAGATAAAATCGTTGCAACACTTTTTATATTAAAATCTATCTTTCTTTTATCATACGTCTAGTGTTATTAAAAAAAGAATTTGTAAATTAACATAGAAAACTTCGCAAAAATATAGTATGAAGAAAATAATAAAAATAGACTGAAAAAGAACTAAAGATACTTTGTTTTTTCATTTACAATATTCTCACTTAACTCCCACAGTTCTTGAGCCTTTTTCGAATTGTATGCAGTTAGACTAGGTTGTGCTACTCGACAATTGGAATGGTACTTTCCAGGTTGAGCTTCATCCGACAAAGCACAATACAGCGTTGTTATTGCCCCTTGGGCAATCGTTTTCGAAGAAATAGCAAACAAGATCATTAAGATTGCTTGAAGTAGCGTTCTCTCGCGTGTTAGTTCAGTTGAACGAATGAAGCCAGGATGAAGTGAGTAGGTCTTAATGCCTCGACCACCATAACGTCTTTGCAATTCAACAATATGTAGGATATTGGCTAATTTTGATTCAGCATATACTAGCATAGTATTGTACGCATTGGTTTTTGAAAAATCAATGTTTTCATTAGCAAGGATGTGCATAATGCTGCTCACATTGACAATTCGTCCATTCGATTGAATAAGTAAAGGAAGAAGAAGTTGAGTTAAATAGAAATGACCGACTAAATTTAAATGACAAATAAAGAATAAATTAGTGTAGAAACACAGCTTACTATGATTTGTTCCAAAAGTACTTTCCAGACCATCGTTAGTCAGTTCTTTATGTTTTTTGTTAACTCCGGCATTGTTAATCAAAATATCAACTTTATCAATCTTTTCAGCAAATACTTTGACACTTGCTAAATCACTTAGATCCAGATGATAACCAATAACGTTTCCATGAGATTCTTTGCTTAATTGTTGAGCGACATGTTCAGCTCTTTCTTGACCACGTATACCAACAATAACACGTGCTTGTTGTTTAGCTAATTCAAGAGCAGTAACTCGTCCTATGCCTGAAGCTGCACCTGTAACTATAACAGTTTGATTGGTTAAATTCTTATTTGGTATATATAAACGGCCAGCTACCAAGCGTTTGTTAATAACGAAGAAGACAACAATATGAATACTTAAGTAAAACAATGTGTAAGGCCAGCTGACCACAAAGAGCAGAACATAAATGAGTACGGAAAGATTTGCCAAGAAAAACATACCAGATTGGCATTCTGGATTAACCAACAGCGTGCGAATAGGAAGCGTCATATTTCTCGAAAAGAGTTGTTTGTTGATGATAGTGGAGAGTCTTACTAATAACTGTGTACGTGTATTGTGATGTGGTGTGTTTTTTTTTAAATATTTTATGTGACGAGAAGAACGAGCAAATGAAAAGATAAAGACAAAGAGAACACGAACTGCTTATTATATTGTTTCACTGTTCTGTGTGCGTTAGTAGATGACGTGCATCATTTTGTTGTTAGTAAGTAATGACTTTCTGCTGATAATCAGAACATAGAAAACGAGCGAGTGATAAAAACAAAAATGTATTGGCTGCAATACTATCACTCTATTTTGTAAAACCTAATTATATCACCATAGATTTTTCGCATATTGTTAGATGGGTCTTTACTGCATAGAATTTAAAACAATGAAAATATTTGTATAAATACAAACCATTAAATTTCATGGCTTGATCATATTATTATTTGATGTGATTTAAATAATTGTGTATCATCTAAACTTATCAGCTGTTCTCATGAAACGGTAAAAAGATACATAAAATTTGCTTTTCTTTAATGGTACATTTTCATTAAAGATGCTAGATAGGTTAGTCTAGTTGAATTATCTCTTGACTTAAAATATCTATGGATCAACCTTGAACTAATTCAGTAAATTGAGCACGTCATTTGAAGAATCCTACCTCTGGTAACGGAACCATATTCTATGTCATTGTAAATAAGATTGGTTGCACAGTTAGAATAAACAAAATTATTTGGTATACATTGTCGTATAATATGTAGGTATCAATTGAATAAACATGGCTTTTGACATGCTTCGAAAAGTCAAAAAAACTTTGAAAAAAAAACAACTGCGGTCGGTCTTTCAGGAAAAATTGAGAAAATATTGAATTTGTGCGATAAATTCGATTTTCTAACAATAAATGTCAAACATTATAAAAATAGTCGCCTGAAAACGATAAGACTTTCATTTGATATTGTGATACGACGAGTACCAATGATAGCCAGTTGGCTTAGACTACTTCTGGTTTTCTTATATCTGAATGCACATTACGAATATCTATGTGGCCGTATTCTTAACAACCTACCAATTAAGCAAACTGACAATACGTTGAGAGAATACTCTTAATAAAAATGTTTTCGGTACAATAAAGAAGACTAAGAGTCTGACAATAATTCTTTTCAGTTATCATAACTACGGCGAGTGAAAGCGAAAATACACCGAAGTCGGCATGTTAAGAAAGGACATCAAAACTGCATCTAAATGTATAACAGACAATACATCTTGTTTTCCAATATGGTCCTATTCATAAACTTTTTTTACTTATACAAGTACATATTTCAATTGTTCGTTTGGGCGTTTTGACCAACAACGATTTATTTTAATATGGTACTATTATAATATATAGTTTTTCGTATAATACCTGTTTTATAATGGATCATACAGTCAGATCCTATGGCTCTGTTTCAACAATATAATATTGATATATGGTAGACTTTTCGAGGGAGAAGAAAGTAATATAATCATATAAATTTATATTGAAAATAAGAAAACTTAGACTTCCCTGCGATGGTTATCTAGTGTAACTACTGAAGAGTCCGCACTAAAAAAATGCTTATAGTTGCTTCGAGTCATAGGAAAAAGATTCTAAAATTAAAAAAAAAACAAATTTGTGCAATTTTTTTTCAAATAGTTCTAAATCAATGGTTAAAAGAGCAAAAATAATAATATATCAGAAAAAACGAAATAAAACAAGTAACATTCATCGAGAGTCGATTCACTTATCCCTAAACTGACGAGATATGGATATCCATGAAGTTGCTTTTAGATGTAAACATGCGTTAAGCACGCTATTGCACTTAGCATTATGAAATTGTTTGGAAAAAGTTACTTGCATCGGAAATATGAATACAGTGTCTTAGAATGCTTCCGACGCCGAAATAATAACAATTTACATTAGACTATTCATTTGTTTTCGAAATATTTTCATCAACAGATACTTCACTCTTACTAAAGTGTTTTTAACCTGTGAAAAATAAGTAAGCGATGAATGTATTTATTTATTTTTTAATATTTTCTTCTTCAAACGATTTCATTTTAAATTGTACATAAGTTCTTAGTCAGCACCAAATACCACCGAAAATCAGTTTTTTTTATAGATGTTTAATGATCTATCTCCTCATAGACATTAATTTGAATTTTAAGATACATCATATGAAAAGCAGTTATCTTTATTATAACTGGCTAGTTTTCAGCATAAACATGATACTATTATTACGAATCAAGGAAAGGTTTCTTTTATTCCTTTGAGAAAGGGTGGATGAGTATAGGTGTGTTTTGGTTCTTTTCACATCCACACCCTTTTCATTGATTTAACTGTCTCTTTTTCATATCATTTCGATGTCACGTAACAGTTGCTGGTTTCCTAGAGTATTGTCAAAAATTGATTGAAGCCGCTTAATATAAGGTAACAATAAGCGTAATGTGATTGTCGGTGATTTGTTGGATTTCAAGCAACCCATCAACCAGTTAGCTTCAAAAACGCTAACAAAAATAATATGTTGATTTTGATAGAAAACAATTCATCGTGGAGGGCGCAGAAATGTATTTAATGACTCTCTTTTACTCTTGATGACACGCTCAAATTCAGTAGAAATCTAAAAATTTGATCGTCAACTTTTTGGTTGACAATCATTGAAAAATGTTGTGTTAGTGAAGGCATACGGTAAGGGACGAAATACATTATATAATTGTGCTAGATTCATGACGTCACTATTTATGTCACACAATCATTTGATTTCGTCATGTAGTTTAGGACAACATGGTTTGACAGGTAAAGAGTATGTCAATTGTCGTTACTCTTCCAATTCATGTTCAAATTCTCGTTGTTATTCTTCATCTAATAATTGAGATAGACGTTGTTGTGTTCCACCATATTCCTGTAATCGTTTTAACACAACACTGAATATTTTTCGATAAACGACGATTACACTGTTCGTACTGGGTGTGGGTTTAGTTATTACTCTTGTTATCACCCACACCCACGGTGGTAAAGCATCAGATTTCGACGAAGCCGCAAATGAGAAGGAAATAAATAATAATTGAAGAATAGAATTCAATGCTGTGCCCAACCACATGATCATTGCTTGACAAATAAATGTACAGGCAAGAACACGAGCAAATAAATGATCCGGAAAAAAATAGAAGAGTTGTAAACAAAGGTAACCCAACGTGGTTCGAGCCTTTGTCGACGAATTAGTGACAGGCATTTCTTCATTCAATGGTTGAGAAATTTCAATCACTGAATCGGAAATGCTGGATAGTCACGTCTGACGATCTGGAAAAGAAAAGGTCACTGAGGAGAACGAGAAGAAGAAGAAGAGGAATGATTTGATTCTCTTCTTAGCGTGCGATGAGCTGCTAATGAGAAAAGAACTTATCAACTTTGACTAGAGCCAAGAACAACAGAAACAGCGACGGCACTTTCCTTTCTCTTCAATGACCCATTTGCATTACTCATTTCTCGGAGAAATTGGAAGGTCTGTTCTTGGCACTAATACAGACAAGGAGCTAGGTGCGTGATGGTTCGACGTTTCTCTCTTTTGTTAGTTTATTATTCTATTGTGTTAGTGTACTTTAAGATCAAAAAACACAAACGCAAGCAGATAAACGAAGTAGTTTTGATCGTCTACGTAGGATGGGAAAATTTGGCACAATGAGCGGGGTCTCGACGGTCTCGACACCTATCACCATATCGACAAGGAATCTGAGAAGCTCTTACGTGACCACCGGCATGAGGATTTACCAATGTTTTGCTTTCTAAAAGCAATACAAACAAAAATGAGACCAAGTATAATTGTAGAGAAAACTGACTTTCGATTTTTGGTAATTCTTCGCCATGGAAAAATTTCATTCGATGTTGTTTGGATCTATCATAGCATTCTTCTTGATAACGACATGGAATAAGATAATCAGGTAGATCAGTGTGACGATATTTGGCCCGATGCACAGGATTCGTTCGTTCAGAACAATTCACGTCATTGGGACATTTAGAGACTTTATGATTTTCATGAACGAGATGGGATTCATGAGCTTTATTTCGACAAAGTTCATTGAAACGGCATGGATGAGAATATTTCTTGGTATGATCTCGAATCTGTTGTCGAAGACAGTAGACTGATTCACTGCAAGGTGGAAGTTTTGGTGAAGACATCTCTCCTGAATTTGAGGAAGCGGCAGCAGAAACTGAGCTGGATCTGGCTGGATTTGATTTCGGCGGTTCGTCGTCCGTGCGAGAACTAAATATAGCATTGATAACCCTTCGGAAAATCGATGGTTTGCGTGGTTTTGCTGTTGCTCCAGCGGACGCAGCTCGACTTCTTCTCTCTTGTGGTCCGACATCAGTCGCAACTCGAGATCGTTCACGACTGGGCCTCGAGGTACTGGTCCGAGGTGTGGTAGGAGGAAGGGGAGCGGTATAAGGAACCGATGATCGATGCATTTTCATCAAGTTCGATGTATCAATTCGAAAATCTTTGTCAAATGATGGATGAAGTTCTGGTGCAGATTCATGACTGATTCTTAAACGACGAATGGGGACATTTTGAGACCCCGCACTGACATGAATATAATCGATTCTTGATAAATCTAAATCTCTCTTGTTGAATTGATACGAAATTTTTTCATGATTATAAATACCATTTGAGCCAGCATGGGATAGCGTTGCTTCACCTATGTGGTGGCTAATTTTCAAGCAAAATGTAAAGAAATCATCAATTTTACAGCCACAGTAAAAAGCACTGGATTTTGCTCGTAAATGATTCTCATGCACATGAGTCTCATGTTGATAGGGTAAACCATCATTGATATAGGAATATTCTTCACGATACTCATCACTCGCTGTCGATGGTGTCTCAGCCACATAACAAGTGAGACATCGCAGATTCGGTTGATCTTTCCCCATCTCAATACGTTCATTGGAAATGACGGTCATCATATCGCCATACATTGCTTGCCAGTAAATATAAGTAAATTCCAAAGTATTGGGTGCATTTTTCTTATTAAGAGAATATAGATAATATGAATCAGATATTTTCAAAGGAAGAGAATTATATTCTTCGAATCTAGAAGCTGATACTGTAAGGTCAAAGCCGTGCGGAGCCTGTATCTCCTGGCTTCGTTCATCTATCTTCTTGATGATTTGTTCTACGATAAATTTTAGATACGATCTGCGAGTGGCATCCAATGGTACTGTTGTGCCTGCTTTTTCTAAGCTAAGATCAACTTGGTGATCAGTAATGTGTAATGAGCGTCCCAATGCCTTTTGAGCATTTTCTTGAGCATGATGTGACAGGGATTCGAAAGCATTTTTCGGTATGTAAACAGTATCAATGTAATCCAATGGAATCAATTGAGGTAAATGAGCTTCAAGTACTTCATGTGAATCTACAGCACACCATCGTTCCGTCAAAGATGAAAGATCAACCTTCATCGATTTGTTTTTGAGACCTGTGGTAGCGATCAATGCTGTCGCTGCTGCGTTTTCATAACTAGGAATAGAACAATGTAACTTTGTATGATGGAAATGTTTAGCACGTTCCTCTGCACGCCCTGGATCTTTGAACCATGGGCATTGCTTGTAAATAGCACCACTATTGAAACTAGTTCCAGCTTCAATAGAAAAATTCGAATCAGGATGCAACATAAGTTCGGATTTGAAGATAATGACAATATCACCATAATAATGACCCAGATGAGGCCCTAGTATACTGAAGACATGGCTATCTGTGCCTAATGTATGATCAACACCATAGCCAATACCTGTGGGTGAAGCATTCAACTTGATCGCTGCTTGAGTTATTCTAACTGACCAATCCTGTATCACTTTAATATCATGCTCTTTCAGGGATGATTTAAGTTTTTGCTTGATTACATTGATCTGATACTCTTGATCTTGATCTAGTGCAGTGGCACCATGTGGCTCTTTTTTCGTGAACTCTGCCTGGACAAAATGTTCGATAAGCTTTGAAACATTCTCTTCCACTATAGGATTTTTGTGTTGCATAAATATCAGACGTACTCGACTGTGCTCTTTCACTGCTTGAACAACATGTCGTGGTTTTGCTAATAATCTCATATAGTGACGACTCATTACATGACCATGAAGAAGAATGGATTCGAAAATATCTCTTTTACATCGATGAACAGGTTGTAATGCTAAGATCCAATTCAGAATAGTCGGAGATATGTTCGCTTTTTGCCAGTTCAAAGCATCAACATAGTCCTTGATCAGTCGAAATAACTGACCTTGATTTCGAACGAAACTGATTCCTGCATTGAGATTGGCATATCGAGCAACGCCGTGGTGATGGTGGTTTTTCCCATGTCGATAATTTTTTAAATGTTTATTTTGGCTTCTATCCACACATTTGTAACCATCATATTTGCAGAATAAACGAATGTCTCGAATGTTTGGATGAGAAAATAAATCAAGATGGTCTTCGTTCGTCAGTTGCGAGCATCGATGGCCATCTGAGCATAGTTGTCGAGCGATATGAATCGAGGTTCTCAAATGTCGTTCTTCGCCAATGCTTGTGCATTGACGACCAAAAGGACATACATGGGAATATTTGAGACAATGATTTTCGATCTCTCGTGACACTGGTTGTGTATGATCCGATTGTAGATATTCAATATGCTGATGACAGTTGTATGGGGTGAATGGACATGGTGGTTGGAATGTATGAATAGTATTTTGCATATGTTTCTTGTCATGAAAATAAACACAGCAATTGTCGTACGGACAAATCGCTTGGCAATGACGAAATGATTCACAATGATCCTGTTCACCTCGTAAGTAGTTTGAACATTCCAGTCCATATCTACAGATAGGCAAATGTCGGTAAGCCGATAAATGTTCAAGACTAATATCAGCACAATGAGATCCATCTTTACAGAATTTCGGATGTTCGTATTCATTCAGATGTTGTGGATTCGTGTTGGAACATCTTCCCTCATCTCGACACCTCGCAGGATGAATGAACATAAACCGATGTACTTCATCATTGATCTGATCACAGGACTCGGTCCCATGCTGCAACAAGCATAGAGGTGGGTGTATATAATTACTATTGTGGGCAGCATCTTTGATTTCTTGACATTTGGTACCATGCTGACACGGTGGAAGATAAAGAATACAAACATCACTCAGAGTTAATTGATTGTTCGATTTATCCAGAATACGGTAAGGTCCATTTGCTCCATTGACACGTAGTGTGGTCGGTGGTCGAACAACCAAACCATCAAGTATTTGCTGAAACGGAAGAAAATTGCCTAGAGGATTGATGGCATTGCCTGTGTTATGATCATCAACGATGGCGAAGTAAATAGTTTCAAAGTAGCCGGCATATTAGTAGATTACCGATTTGAACAATGCAGCAATATGTTCAGGTGGATTCCGAAAGGCACCACAGCCAAAAGCAGATAATACTAAACAATCATGTTTATGATGATGTGCAATGGTAAAAATATTCTCGATCTTTTTATGCGTTTTTACAGCAAATTTATTCTCGAGCATATTGTTTCTGGTTAATTCCGGATCTCGATAGGCAGGTATGGCAATAGCACAGACATTGTAAAGCGGATTCTTCATATAAGCATACCCATTCGTTTCAGTCTGACGAAATACAGTGATACCAGAGGTATAAATTGCTCCAAATTCTGGAATCGGATATAAGCCTCCATAACCAGCGAATGGTTTCAATTCACATTTTGATGTACAAAAAATCCGTTCTGATCGATCAGTATCAGCTAACTCACCATCAAGACTCTGATAGTAATCCGAACGACGGAAAATATTCTCTTCCTGTGCTCCATCTCCTTTTCGATAGCCACCACCAGGACTCGTAGCATTGGCCATATTCAGTAATAGGGGTCGACACCCTTGCGAGACTAATTGTTCATATAGAACAAGACAATCTTCATTCAATACCTTGACAGTAGTCGACGAATAGGGTGTTTTGAATTCTTTTTCCGAGATCTTCTTACTGTGCGATAACTTTGATTTATGATCATAACCGATCGTTCGCAAACGCTCGCACTTCAATACAACTTCTTTCGAATCAACAAAATATTTTCGTTTTCGCACTGTATTGATGGTATTCAACATCACTGTTACTCGTAATAAATGTTGGGTGAGATTGTATTTCTTCGAGCCACGACCCAGTCGTTCCGTTTTGCGCATTTGTTCAAGCCATTGATCAGCATTCCATCGAGAGTGCATTGTAATATGTTGAGGATCGTTGATCACCGTCATGATGTCCGGCTTCATATCGAGCATAGACGTCTCGTACCAATTGGCAGCATCGAGATCAGTAGAATTGGAATCGCTTACATTCGTGTGCGCCACCACTCGCATTAGATGATCGTCGATAGCAAAACCCCCAATGGTTAAACAGTTTTCATAGCTGTCTCTATTGGTCATCTCGAGAATGAGTTTATCATCGATATGTTTATGAGAAACAGATCGGTTCACGAACAAGGAGTGTTGAAGGATCCGTCTAATATCAAAACCACGTGGAATAGGAGCAATCTGTACACGGTATGCCAATTTACTCTTTTTCGGTATCCTATGTTCACCAATAATCAAGTTGCTTTCTGTTATCCATTTCCTGCCCACCGATTTGCCTGCCAAAATCACTGCATTACCGGTCTTCTTATTGTATTGAACGTAAAACGATCCTGGAGGAAAATCTTTGTCACCAATTTGTTTTTCAATCGCTGATAAAATTTGTTCATCATTGATATTCGATGGTAAATCTTCGAAGAAGCTACAATCAACACGCAAATAAACGGTGGCAAAAGAATTTCCGATTCGAAAATCAGGCTTCTTCACTGCTTGAATCAATTCGTTCAGTGTTTTCAAAGAAATACGATAAATGTTGGGAAATTCCATCGATATAGATTCACAATGAGGAGCGATTCGTGTTCCGTAGGTATTGGCATAATGACAAGCGAGTTCGTTAGCAGAAGGAATCTTCGGCATATCTTTATCGAACACAATAAATGAATCCAAATCCAGCTCCGTCGTGAACGATATATTGATATTCAGTTGTTGATCGAAGACTACTGATCCAAGACGAGACACAAGATGTTCGCGATCGTCTTGCTCCAATAGTCGAAGGACACCCACACCCAGTTTCGAATAACATTTGACATCAGCAACTTTCTTACGTAGAGCGGTTTCGACGCGTTGCCGGACCAATTGTTCAAGATCATCTTCTCGATAATTCCATGGAAGGTCAGGGATGTAAACGATAAAATCTTCTCTGGATGATACTCCATGAGGTAAAGGCGGTCTACCTAAGGAAGAGACATGTCCTGATGGAGTTCGTAGTCCACTGAATGCTTGGGATGACGTAGTAGTACTCTGATCATCACTCTCGTCGAACATCGTCTTAGCTAGTCAATTCGTATGAAGTCATCTCGTGTTCTGCACTCGCTATTTAAAAGTGAAACATCGCTTAAGAAGTTTCTTCCTACGAGGAAGAAACAACAGCATGAGAAATCATGTGACACTCTTGAAAGAAAGAAGGAAAAAATTTTAATCTTACCGTAATACATTTACGATTCTATAGAAAAAAAAAACGTCTTTTTATTGAGTTTTTTTTTTTGTTCTGCCTCTCTCTTTCTCATATGCATAAGAAGTTTGAGAAATACTCCAAGTTATGACATTTTGTCGTCAATTCTTTCGTAACTCTGAAGCAAACTAACTTGGAATCTTCCAACTTATTGTAGTGTTCCTCACTTTTATTTTAATGAGTTTCACACAATTTGAGAAATGAAAAAATAACAATCTGTGAGACTGGAAAATTCACAGGTTTGCTCTTCGTTGCTGCCTATAATTTCGCTTCTTCGTGCAGTTTGACTACCGAAGCATACTTCTTCATTGTGTAGATGCATGAAAGAAAAGAAATATCATCATAGATACTGTACTTCCTGCCGTCGTTTTCGCCTCCCGAGATTTTATCTTTTAAATTAGAATATCCTTCTCATTTAAGCTGATTTTCAGATAGGTATTCACAGAAGACTCAACTTGTTCGCAATCATTCATGCACATTTGGAGTGACCACATGAAGAGTGTGGATGTGGGTGTGGATGTGGGTGTGGATGTGGGTGTGGATGTGGGTGTGGATGTGGGTGTGGATGTGGATGTGGGTGTGGATGTGGGTGTGGCTAAACTTTTCATCGACATTCACACCGGCGCTTACACACCCATACCCAGACTCCTCGTTGTCATACAATGACAGTTATGTCATTCGAAGACATTTCTTTATCGCTCACATATTCTCACATTATCTTGTAATTACAGCACTGCAAAAATCGTTCCACCCTTTTTTTGTTCTGTATAACTTAATTTGGCATTAAATGAATGGTCAGTTCAAGAGAGGAAATGAATGTTACATTTTACTATATTATTTGATCAATCA